ATAAAAAATCTGATATTTTGCGTATGAAAGCATTGTGATGTTTACTGATAAACTCCCAAATTTCATTAACATTTGCTTACTAATTTAAAAGTTATAGCATGAAAACTATAAAAGCACAAAATGGTTATGAGGTCAGTCCCAAGGACCAAGCCTGGGTTGGGAGTTAATAATATGAAAATAAAAGCCACAACTTCTGTAGGTGAAAAAATGTAAGAAGACAAAAATCCAAATTTAACATTTCAGCAACCATTAGTGTTTTTGCAAGTAATTCCACAGAAAAAAACAACAAAAAAACACTTATATCTGAAAAGCTCAGAAGCAAAAAATAAAACACATCTGTACAAGTGAGTACCAAATTGAGAGGTAATGATTGAACAATCAGTACAGAGGGAGCCAGCTACAGTATGAGGGTGGGTTGCACTCCTGTTGGTGGAGGGTTATCACATGTTCATTTGCATGTAACAGTGCAGCAATATTATTGCTTATTCTATTGGAATCAACATTGTCTGTAATAAGCATTGGAACATCACTTGTGTAGACTGAGTTACTGTGACTTCTCTTCCATATAAACTCATGCAATCCACTGTTCTTGGGTTCAGTATGGCCAACATTGAATAACTAATGCAAAACAACAGTTGCTGGTTGCACAAGCGAGACTACTACACTCAGCAGTACATCAATTCCAAGGATACCAGTGCCAGAACTGAGGTCAGCAACAAACCAATCTATAATAATAAGCTCAACAGTACATCAAGTTCAAGGATACTGATGCCAGAACTGAGGTCAGTGACAACTACCGTCATTCTGTAAGCAAAACATTCTAGGCATAGTCAGAGAGTGACCTATCTAATGATATCTAGTCTATCTCCATTCACTAAAACAAAGTTACTGTCAAACTGCCTGAGTAGTGGTTTCACTCAGAGCACCTGATATACCTTAGGATTTGCCAGTGTTCTGGCTGCTATTATATCAACCAGGTACTATCTCTCTAAAAAGCAGGTCTGGCAACCACAAATTTTGGTACATGCTGTTTGTTGCATTCCTCCAAGCCAGTGCCCAGGACCAGCATAGACTCCTTTAATTTCCTGGAACTACAACAGCAATATTCACTGTCTGCTGTTGGCTCTTTCTGTAACTTTTGCACTATTGGTGGGAAAGAAATCAGCAATCTTTGGAACAATGACAAAACTCCTACAGCCAGAAGAGGACTTCTCTAAGAACTTCACAGTTCTTTTAGACACCCATCTCTCTTTGGTGAGTGACTCTCCCTCATTTTTGTATGTTCTTTTAGTTGTATAAAATGCCAATTTATTTAACCTAAAAGCTTTTTTAAACTTAATGCACAAGAGTTAAAGTAATATCAGAACAACTTCAGAAGGTATAACAAACTCCACCACAACAATATCCTGCAGTCCCACTACCAAAATTTTCTTCTACCTATCAACTTTGTGGTATGTATAGGTAAAACTGAATCAACCTTCATGCTATTGAATAGGTCTGCGTAATAACTGGAGATACAACCATGATATAATCACAAAGTAATGCTAAATCTCTTACTGAGTTGTAATGTTAAATGGAATAAGACACAAAGTGGGATATGAAATGAACATTCATCCTTATAACAATAAAACACAGTGTGTGTACTTGCTATTACATTTCCTAGAACCTCTGTATTCAACTGTTCAAGTTGAATCCATGTACCAGACTATCTAAATCAAACATTCCTTAGTTCACAAGAAACACATTTATGCAGGAGGATGAGCAATATTCAGATGACTAGTCATTCTCATTACAACATAACTGAGGCCATAACCTCCAGACATCACCTGAACAGCCAATGAAGGACACTACTGTCAGTGACCTTGCACAACATGCAGTATTGCATATTGCAGCAATATCCCCTCCTATGGACAGAGCAGGTATTATCTACTTGGAAACAAAGGTAAGTAGAATGTATTCAACAGCTTTCACTGCCTTGTATTATGTGAAACTGCACATATACCAAACAAACAAAAAATTCATAATAAATGCTATAATATTATAAGACAGAAATGCAATGTATGTTCAGATAGCACAATAGTATAGCTACTAGAATTTTAAAGTGTGTTTATATAAATCCTCAATACAAATCAAAAGAGATAACTATCTCTCTCCCTGGAGAAACCAATATTCACCCCACTTACACCTCACTTGGAACATTGTGTTTAGTTTTAGACTTCTCACCTATGAAACAATACTGACTCATTGAAAGGGTCTAGAAGAGTGCTAATAGGATGATTCCATAGATGGAAGGGTTATTTATTCTGTCTTGAGAAAAAATGGGTAAAAGGTGATCTTATTAAAGTTTACAAGATCATCTTGGGAATCAAAAAGATAAAGGATTCTGATTTCCTTGTGGTGTATTCTAAAAGTAACAGGACAAGAAATAAAGATTTGGAAAAAAAGAAAGGCTCCAGTCAAAACTTTTCTTTTTCTAAAAGTATGATTGACTTTAAAACCCAGATGTACAAAATTATATAGCCATTGTTTTATAGTTATTTTACTATTTAGTAACTGTACATTAAATAATCCTATAATATGTCATAAATTGTTTTATTATTAAAGGCAACATTATGAATTACATTATCCAACACATAGTACATAAATTTGATATGAACTGCATGTATAACTATATTATTTTGGTCTTGTTTTTGTTTTTCTGTTTAAAATTGTCATAAAATTAACTACTAATTCTATTACATATTAATAGATTGATTACGTATGGCCATATATATCATTATAATACTTGTTTAAGGAAAAATGTATCTTTTGAGTACAGTAGCCAATTCCAATTTAATTTCTGCCATCTACTTTAAGTTGATGACAAAAAATACATTTAACCTACCTCTTAAACATGATTTGTTTTAAAATTACTATTTTCAACTTTGAATTTATATTTGTATGTATTCTCCTTATCTTCCAAGTTCTTTGAACCTCCAGCAGGTATGTACACATACTATAAATGCTTACTCTTCTTTTAAGGACCTTTATTATTAAGTAGCAGAAACACTGCCCTACAGATGGCTGTTTGTGTAAGTAATTACTAATCGTAGTATTCATACCTCATTGAAAAAAATTTAGAAAAAGTGAATATTTTCTGTGAAAGGATTTTTTCTAGCAAGTACTGCTTGGGGAAAGTGTTTGGATTGTGCTCTTTAGTCATATGCAACTCATTACATCAAAATGATTAAATGTACACAGCTCAAAATATTCATAAATTTTACTGATATAAACTGTAACGTTTTTATATTAAAAGTGATATTGTTTATTGAAAAAATAACTGTTTTTAAGAACTCCAGTTTCTCAGTATTACATTTAAAAATTACATCAATAGATATAATCAAACTCTCATGTACAGTTCTAGTAAAGGTCGTGTTTTTGTTGTGAGGAGAGTACATTTATTTGAAATTATGTTATATTATAAATAAATGGTTGTTGCTCATACCACAGTTATTTTTATAAATGTCTGAATCTTGAATACCCAAAGCATGAAGTTTTTGTGGATTTTTGTTTGTGGAATCATTCAATAGATGGTGCAGGTGTTTTGGTTACATACATAAATATTGGCATACATACTATGTCAATTACAGTAATATATTATACACCTGTTGCATTAAATTACATCAAATTTGATATTAATCATACTAACATTATCAAACAGCATTCAAATTCTAGAATATTAGCCTGTAATTTGTAAAGTGTAGGCCTATTTTCAATTTCAACATTTCATTTTTCAGATTCACTGACTTGGTGGCCTAGCCTGAGTGAAGACATGCCCAAATTTTAATATCCATGCAAGTTTCGATAATGAAGTTATTAAATTATATTGGGTGCCTTGTTAAAACCAGAAAATTATTAATTTGGCTAAAGCTTCTTTTCGACATAAGTTAAATGTACATTTCTTAAGCCTTACAGTTATAACTACATAAGTTATTGTTACGCCTCCGTCGTTAGTTAATTTTCTGTATAATTTTTTTGAGAAGAAACTTTAGCAACACAAGTCCTTTCTTAAATAAAACTGGTTTATTTTTCTAAATACAACTTTGCAATACACTTAATTTCCACAGTCAAGCTATAACAAACGCTATAATTCACAACGAACGTCTCACGTGCTCAACTCAACAATACGTCTCTCTGTCCACAGTTCAATTACATATTACATTGTTGCCGTCATGTCTTGACATTCTTATATGTACAAGAATACCGAAATCTAGTAAAAGCCCGAGCATTCACGAACGTTCTAGAAGTGCATGACGTATTACTAGTGTCACGTGACCTCCGCTGTCGTAACATTATATTCACAAGTAACATATGAAAAATGGAAAATCCCTTACATATTGCAGTTTTTCCACATCAAAAATTTATTTCAGCCTAGAAAAGAGCTTAAATTTCTACAATATTTTTTCAGTTACAAAATCGATTTATGATCTACATTTACATCTAATATCTTGGCTAAAGAGACCTAATGAGTGATGAAACACAAAATATCTTAAAGATATTTTACCATAACATTCAAGTTTTCAAAAAATGAAAGATTAGGGGCTCAACTCCCTTGTGGTGTTCAGATCTTGCATCCATTTCAAGTGATGGCCAGTAACTTTTAAACCCAGCCACATTGTACTGAAGAATGATATTGAAGCCACAGCTGATCTGATATATTATCAGCCCTTCTTCCTCTGTCTTTTCGTAAACAGTCAGAGAGGAATTTAGTATCTTACTTATCATCAGATCATGCTACACAGTGTCCTTACCCTCCAGACTCAATAAATCTCTTCAATCTATGACTTACTTGCCATCATCAGTTAGTGGTTGCTAACGTAACTTTAGGCTAACATCATTATTAGTCACATTTCATATTAACATAACAAAGTTGCACTAGATTTAATTTTAAACATTTGTATAAACTTCAATCTGATTATTAAACGAAACGTTATGCTTACTTACTGTGAACATCATCTGTTAAAGCACTTCTTGTTGACATGTTTTTGTTTAACTTATGAAGACTCAGTCAAAACCCATTAAATTGAATCATAATATAAACACACACATATCTCGACATCTCGAGGCACGGTTTTAAATTAAATATTACGCTAAATATATTAGCATCAAAAATGCTTGTAAATAAAATTTCAAATATGCAACAAAATAAATCTTCAAACATATGTTAAATGACATTAATATAATATGCAGCCCACAAAAATATCTGTAGTTTTTAAGTATTAAATATATAGACAGGCTATCAATATAGCATAGCAAAAAATTCAACAGTTTTTATTTCAAGGACAACAAGGGACTTGTTGGTCCATCTAGGCCGCTCATTCACTCAACTTCATAAAATAAAATAATCTCCAACAAACACTTAAACCCTTAAACTACCTTATATTTAATGCATCCACCAAATCTGAAGTCAGCCTTTACGGACATGTTAGAGAAATAAAACTGTCTTTGCTGAAGATTACTTTTACCCTGCCCAAATTTATTTTTGGTGTTTTATCATTCTCAATAAATTAAATACGAATAAAAAATATTATGCATCGACTCCATCAATTCTCCTAACAATGTTAAAAACCTCAATCACGTCCCCTCTAACTCTTCTTTTTTTTTTTTTTTAAGGAAAACAATTTCAGGATCTTAACCCGTCCAGGTATGACATTCTTTCTATCCCAGTTTTGTGTACCAGGTCGTTTGTTAATTTTCGGTATAAATTCTTC